TCACAATGGAACAGTAAATTGAAGAGAAAAGGAATACACTACATTTCAACCTGATGTACATAAATCTTAGTGATGCCAAAAGAGTAAACCCTGTGTGGAGAAAAAAGAAAACTCATATACTGTTGGTGGGAATAGAGAATGGTCCAGACCTATGGAAAGCAGGACGGAGATTTATCAAAATATTAAAGATAGATTTACCATGTGATCTAGCAATTCCATTCCTAGATAACTACCAGAAAAATGCAAAATCACTAATTCAAGGGATATGTTCATTGCAGCCCTATTTACAATAGCTGAGTTATGGATACAACCTAAGTGCCCAAGGAGAGATGAGTAGATAAAGATGATGTGGTTTAGTATACACAAAAATGGGGTATTATATAGCTATAAAAAATGAAGTCTTGTCATTTGTGACAACATGGATGGAATTGGAGGGGATTTTGTTAAGTGGAGTAAGTCAGAAGGAGAAAGACAAATACTAGATGGTTTCACTAATATGTGGAAATCAGAGAAACAAAACAAAGGGTCAGAACCAAACCAAACCAAACAAATGATAGAACTGTGACTACAACTGAGGCTACCAGAGGGGGAGGGGAGGGGAGGGATCAGAGTGGGCCCAATGGAGTATGGTAGAGGCCTATGGGGTTTCTCAGTGGTGGATGTGGGAGAATAACATACATCTGAAGGGTGTAGTAACATACTTCTGAATCATATACCATGTTGGAAGCCAACATTATCTCAATAAAACAATATAATCAAAAAATATACCTTGAAAGACTACAGACAGCAAGATATTTATAAAGTTTAAAAACACTCTATCTCATTTTTAAAAGGCAATAAAGCGAGGGGGGAGGGGTAGAGTCATGCACTGCTTAACAATATTTTGGAATGACCACATGTACAGCAGTGGTCTCAAGGTAAGTAGTAGGCTATACTAGCTCATTTCGCTAATTACATTCTCTGACATTTTCACAATGACAAAATCACCTAACAATACATTTTTCAGAATGAATTCCCATGGTTAAGCTACACATGGTAAGATAGGGAAGCCTACATGGATGGCTAAAAGTTATTGCAGCTTTTCTTGTTCTTCCAAAAAAAAAAAAAAATTGATGGGATATACTGGGTTTCCTTAGGAATTTATGACATTATAAAACATAACGTGATATAAACTAAAATATTCAGTTGAAACGCATGCAAGGAGTACTGGCAAGACTACCAAATGTCTATGCAATTGAAGTCCATATCAAAAATGAAACAAAAAGCTGGAAGGGATCATGCTCAGCGAAATAAGCCAGAAAGGAAAAGAAAAATACCGGATGGTCTCAAGTCATAGCAGGAATTTAGCAAACCTTAATAAGACACCAGGAAAAAGACTAATTATAATAAAGTAAAAATCAAAATCAACAAAGCAACTTTAAACCAGAGACACACAATGGGGAGGTGGGGGGGTAAAAGGGAGTAGGATCAAAATAAGGAGGGTGGGAATTGTATGGCAACTATAACCAAGATGAAAATGCATACACTGTGCAAACACTGTGCAAAAATGAAAAATGATGTAAAAATACATAAAAAATAAAATGAAACAAAAAATCTTCATTCCTTTTCAAAAAACCTTAAGGGCTCCCCATTGTCTTAGCCTCTCATGGGATCTAATTATGAGATTGAGATGCACATATAGAAAAAAGGAAGGGGCAGTGGAAAGAAGGGAGGAAGGGAGAAATAATAAAGGAAAAGATGTATTGCTAAGGTAAGTTAAGCTCTCCTGAGAGTGACAATCTTCCTTAAATTAAGATCCAAAACAGCCCAAATGCCCAAAAATAGATGACTGGATCAAGAAGATGTGGTACATATACACCATGGAATATTACTCAGCATTCAAAATAGATAAACACATGCAATTTGCAGCAACATGGATGGCACTGGAAGGGATCATGCTCAGCGAAATAAGCCAGAAAGAAAAAGAAAAATACAGGATGGTCTCACTTAGAGTAGGAATCTAGAAAACTTAAATAAGGGACCAGGATAAAGAATAACTATAAGAAAGAAAATATCAAAATCGACAAACTACTATGAACCAGAGACACTCTATGGCGGGTGGGGGTGGGGAAAGGTGGGCTTGGGGTCAAAATAAGGGGGTTGTAATTGTATGGGGAATATAAAAATAAAATTTAAATTAAAAAAAAAATAAAGTCAAAAAAAAAAAAAAGATCCAAAACAAGCCCCCTGTAAATTCCTCAAACACTATCATAGTACTTGTACATTAAGTTGTTGTTTTTTTCTTATTTCTTTTGGTAAATTCCAAACCTTCACTATTGAATATGGCAGCCATGCCACATGGGGCTATTAATTAACATGTAATAGAGCCACCAATTCAGTTCCTTGGTCACATGAGCCATATCAAGTGCTCAAGGCTACGTGTGGCTACTGCCTACCAAATCAGACAGCAGACAAAGCCATTTCCATCATCTGTAAAGGCCTTATTGAACAGCAAGGCTTTAAATTCACCTGAAAAAAGGGGCAGAGGAACTTGTTTACACCCAAGCCAGGGTGATGAAGTGACTGAACTGAGAGTCACAACCTGTCCCCTGGGGAGACCTGCTGCACCAAGCCCAAGGTTGACAGCTTAAGGCAGAGACCCAAAGGGAACAGGGCAGCAGGCTCAGCACAGTCTGCCACCCTTTCACACTGCCCTTCTCATGGGGTGGGGGGGTTCTTCTTTTCTCTTCCCACTCCCTAAGCCTCCCAACCCCCTCACCCTAGTACCCATCTGCCCTGTCTTCCTGTCTTTCAGGTTTTGTTCTGCTGAAGTACTTTTTGGGAAGATAAGAGGATCTAGCCTGAAAGATGGCAAAACGCAACACACAAGAATTCAAGACATCTCAGCTGCCATTTTTTCTGGAACATGGGGGGTGGAGCAGGGGTGTATTCTTTTCCCCCTTCAACCCCACCCTAGAAGGCAAGAGAAATTCCTCAGAAGCCGGTACTACAGCAGGGGTCTTGTCCCAAGTAGCCTCTGTCCAGCCCATGTTATCAGCCAGGCCAATAACCTCGGACCATCATAGCAAGAAAGGTCCTTGAGACAGCCAAAGCACAGATGAGGAAACTGAGGTTCAGAGTGGGGAAAAAATCTGTACAAGTTCACACAGCCAGGGAGCAGGAACAGGCCCGCCAACTCCCCTGGCCCCCATTCTGCTCACAAAGCAAGTGGGTTCCTTGGGAAGCGCTGTGTTCTTATGTCTACGCTCAGTGACCCCTATGTCTCCCCAGAACAGTGGGGATCCCCACCTCTCTGCTCTCCCTCAGTCCCTGGCAGAGCATAGGGATTTAAGGTGGAATCTGTGCCAGAGGGCATACCAAGTGACCTGAATGAGGGGGCTGGGCTTGGCAGCCAGCTGGGTTCAGCAGGTCCAGCCCTTTCCTGGAACCCTGCCTGCCTTTCCACTCTAAGGAGCCGCCTAGAACAAGGGTCAGCTCCCCTGGGCCAGCTGGTCCACACTAGGATGATCCCAGGTCAGTGACCAGTGTGGGCTGGAGGAGAAGGTTAGCAAAGAATCCCCCAGCACCTTTGGCTCCCAGGTAGTCCTGAGCAGGGCCTGTGCTCACTCACCTGTGTCACCAGCACAGTACCAGACACAGAAGTATCTCCACAGCATGTTTACTGAACCAGCAAATGAGGCTGAAAGCTGTGGGCTGGGAGACCCCAACCCGAGCTGTGAGGAGAATGGTGGGGGCTCAGCAATCAAGAACACAGAACCTTATTTTCCTCTGATTTCATCATATATAATTACATGAGCAAAGTTCTGCCTGACTTTGCAGTTTAGAAACAGCAAAGAGTGCTTGCCACGGACAGGCAGTTCCTTCTCATAGCTCCTCAGGTACAGTCTTCATCCAGGAACTTAGAATGTATTTTAAAAGTTGCCCTAAGTTGTAGTGCTAGTAAGAGGCACAGCTGAGATTCACACAGCTTGAACTTAACAGACAGCACTTCGAACTACACTTCATTCACTCAACAAACATCAGTAACTATATGTCAGGAACGTTCCCAGATGCTGGGAACATGGTTGTGAACAAAACCTGCCCCAGCTCCCTGACAGTTTTTACGCTAGTTTATGAAAGACAACTCAACAATACCAAAAAATACAACCAAATAACATGATGTGCCCAAGCAGGGGTCACCACAATCTTTCTTAAGAGGCTAGAGAGTAAATATTGACTTTATTGGTCATACAGTCTTTGTTACAATGACTCAACTATGCAAGAGCAGCCATAACAGATATGCAAATGAGTTGGGACAGCTGTGTTCCACTCACACTGATAGTGAACTGAGGATTTTACATGATTTTCATGCATCATTAAATATCAGTTTGGGACCTTTTTCCCAATCCATTACAAATATAAAAACCATTATTAGTTTGCAGGCTGCATTAGCACAGGTGGTGGTCCAGATTAGGTCTTTGGGTGCAGGTGAGGTGGCCTTGCCAACTCCTGGTGACTGGGGTATGCATTTAGATAAAATATAGAATATGGGGTTGCAGTAAGAGTGTGCAAGGGGATGACATTTAAACAGAAACCTTAATGAGAGAATCACTGAGCTCTGTGCACCAGCAAAGGGAGCATGTGCAAAGGCCCTGTGGTGTGACTGGTGGGGATTGTGAGGCAGAAAGTCAGGCAAGAAATAGAGGTCAGTAGGAGCCAGATCATGTGAGCCTCCAGGCCCTGGTGAGAACTTTTATTTCAATGTAATGGAAAACTAGGCTCTGGCATTTATTAGTTCTATGTTCTTGGCAAGTTAGTAAACATCTATGTTGTGTCAAAACCACTTCAATTTTGTATTAAAATAGTATTAAAACAGTACCTCACCTGTCTCTAAGGGTGGTAGGACCAAGTGAGCAAAATGCTGTAAATGAATATTAGCTGCTGATATAAATGTTAACAGTAGAGTCTAACTGGAGGAGGCAAGAGCTGGGAAAAGGGGTGACACCTTGAGTCAAACTCACCCACGATGTCCACCACATCTGGCCGGATGAGCGGCTCTCCGCCTGTGAGCCGGATCTTGTCTACACCTTCTTTCACAAAGAGCTGGGCTAGGGTCAGGATCTCCTCTGTGGTCAACAGATCAGCCTTGGGGGTCAATGGAACACCCTCTTCAGGCATGCAGTATTGACCTGAGAGGAAGGGCGAGGACATAGAGGAAGGAAGTGAGGACACAGCAGGCAGGCCCAGATATCCCCAGTCCTTAACTCGCCCATCAGGCCAGAAGTTTCTCCTGAACCCTATCCAGACAATGAGGACAAACCTTGCCAAAGCTGAGGTGCGACAAACCGTAGGCCATTCTCTCTGGGCCTCAACGTTCTCATCTATAAATGTTAGCACTCTCTTCCTCTCTGGCCTTAATAGCCATCAGTGAGTGAGTGTGTGTGTGCGTGTGCTTGTGTGCCTGTGGGAATGGCAATTAGGAGAACGGGTGGATAGCAGAGCCTGCCTGAGGTGGAAGGATGCCAAAATGCTGATTCCTTTTGGAAGGAATGGGCCCAGGGCCCTGCCTGGTGCCCCCTGCACTGTCTCATTCACCCTCTTCATTTCACCTAGCAAGGTTATCCTTCTTGGTGAAAGAGGCAGGAAAGTACACTCAGGCCTGGTAAAACTCCTCTCCTCTGTGACTAAATAGCTGGCCTATTTCAGATTTTTACCATCCATAAGATGGGAAACCTGAGGTCCCACTTTTCAGGTCCCGACACTCAGCCCAGGGTGCAGGACCTCCTGGGCAGGCAGAATGTGGCAGAATGTGGTAAATGAGGTGAGCCTGGCAGGGGAGGGGTAACATCATTTAGTGAAATTAATGAAGGGCACAGAACTGATCTTTTCAGAACTGGAAAGGATATCGAATATCAGTACTGTACGCAGTGAGTGTTGCTGGGTTAAACACAGACTGAAACGCCCACATATGTATTAATAAGACCATGAAGGAAATGAATTTCTTATTGGGAGCTACAGGGAGGGAGGAGAACAGAAGGGAAGGGCAAACGAAGTGTGAAAGTCCATCCGGGGGTGGCTACACACCAGAGCCCTCAGCATGGATTATGAAATGAGGACTCTGTGTCTGCCTGACCCCACGCCACATCTGTCAGCAGGCAGTATTTACAGGCACTATGTGTACTTCACACACTCACAGTGTCCAGCACCCCCTGCCATCCCCGGCCATGGCCCGAACTTTGGAAACGACAGAGAAACCGAGGGAGAGAGAAATGGGCCCCGAAGAGGGAGGTCAGATTGGATTGAGTCCAATCTTACTGCTAAACCCGATAGCAATTCTGTTCTCAGATCTAATCCCAAGTAAAACCCAGCTCCCAGGATTGTAAAGCTCAACCTTGACCCCTATATCTTGTTCCTGAACCCCACCTGGAAAAAGAGGGAGTAAGGGTGGGTGGAGAAGTTTGAGAAAGGAGCTAGGAGGATTGAGAAGGATTTCTGAGTGTGTAGAGGTTTCTGAGGCCATTCCAGCACAGGGACAGGAGGTCAGAGAGGGCCCAGAAGGTGACTCACATCTGAGGTTGCACTTCTCAGTGAGGGAGATCCGCAGGTAGCTGTGCTGGCGGCCAAAGCTGTCGGTGAGGAAGTCGGAGAAGGGGGCTGCGTGCTGGCGTAGGAACTGCCTCCTCTGGGACAGCTCCTGCAATGATTGGGGCAGGAGAAGGGAGGAAATGTGGCTGGGGAGAGTCCCCCTTCAAGCACCCCTGCCTCATCACTGACACCTGTTTAGCACCTTTAATCTTCCTCTGTAGACACCACTGTCCCGGGAGAGCTGGGATTGAAACAGGCCTGAGGGAAGGACCTGCCCCCAAGGTCCCGACACTCAGCCCAGGGTGCAGGACCTCCGTGGGCAGGCAGCTGCCAGCTGGTCCTGCAGCCAGGTAGAGGAAAAAGGGAGACTACAGGGGGCCATTAAGACATTGCTTCAGTCATCTTTCACTCTACCCAAAGCCACAAGGAGGGATCATATGCCCATTGTCTGGGGCCTAAGGGTGGGGAAGCCACTGCAAGGCCCAGACTTGTCCTGGGGAGAGAAAGGAGCTGCCAACCTCATTCTTTCCCAAGCTTGATCTAATCTCATCTCTTTCCTCATGGAGGTCCCAAGTCATGACAGATGCTGATGAGATAATTGCCCCATAGAAATCACATTTGAAAAGCATCTTAAAGTTTCCAAAGAATGTTTTCTAACTAAGGCTGGGCTGGGGTCCAAGAACACCTTTGGAAGAACCAGAATTCAAATGCAGGTGCTTCTCATTCCAAGTTCTAAATTCTTTCCTCTAATAGTACAGGGTGAGTCCAGAAGGTACACAGGACTGCACAGAGGGTGGAGAGAAGTTGTTTCTTTAGATCTTTAGAACAAAGAAACCATGGCCACAGTGCATAGTCACACGGTCTAAGGACAGGGATCTGCATTGAAGGTAAGGACTCCTGGTTTCTGGCCCAGGTATGACCTGAAACACCGGGAAAATTTCTTTCACTCATGCAGGCCCTGTTTTTTCCAGTTGCAAATAAGAACAGTTATGGACTAAGGCTGTCTTGCCTTAAGACAATTTGGGTAAGAGGCAGGGGTGGGGGAAGAGTGGTGTGTCTTGGGTCATGAAGCTGTCTGGTAAACACTCCTAGAGTATTCACAGAATAGTGGGTTACTTAGCAGAACACCCTGAGAGCTGATTGCCTCCAACCCTCCTGAGGTCCTAGGTATGTGTTCACCAGGAGGAAGAAACATAATTTCAGTGACCTCCACAGCCCTGGCTGAGCATGGGGATCATCCAGGAAGCTCAAGAGAAAACACTCCACTGGAGACCAAGTGAATTTGGATCTTTGGGTGCTTGTGTTTTTAATCTCCCCCAGGTAATTCTAAGGAGCAGCCAGTCAAAAGCCACTGCTTGACTCCGTGGATAAAAGGGATCTGAAAGAGAGAGTTGGGTGGTGCTTTCAGGATTTTTCTGGGTTTATACAAAACTGGCTTCACACTGCCCATACCACGACTAGTTTCACATGTCCACAGAGAAGCCCTGTTTGCTGTCTTATGGCCATAAACAGCAGTCACCACTCAGGACTGCAGAATGCTATAATCATAACAGTTTCACCCCCCCCCCACACCCTTTTCTCCTCCCCACCCAGCCCCTGGTGTCTTTCCTCCAGTAGCCTTGGGAGGCCCATAGGTCAACAGAGTCCAGAAAACAGGGGATCTGGATTTGTGACAGTTGCACCCTCTTCTTCAACAATAGTAATTTGCAATTCAGCAGTTTGTTACTCACACCAGGCCCCTCCCCCTTACTTACCAAGATATCCCCCTCACTCTAACCCTAACATATTGGGAAGGTGGCTGGATGACAAAGGAGCCAAAACAAATCCAAGGAGTATGACTCAGCAGAAATCAGAGCTCAAGCAGTGTAATGGGGCAATCTGTAATGGAATTAGGTGCTCAGTTCAGGCTCTGGGAGGGGCAGGTCAGATTTCACTTTTGAGATCTGGAGAGACCTTATCTCAATTCATTCAGCCTCTGTTTTCTCTCTCTCTCTCTCTCTCTCTCTCTCACACACACACACACACACATCACTCTGCCAGGCATGCAAATATATCACTGGGATGTTAACAAGCCTCATCTCTCCTCCAATACTGCATGCCCCACTTTTCAATCCTAGATATTTTTTTCTTTCCTTTAAACCTCCTGGAGGAAAACATATCACATTGTCACCAGTCAAAGGAACCTGGGATCCAGAAGGAATTACCAAGCAGAGCAGAGCCCCTCTCACCGGGGAAGGGCTAGGACATTTCAGAAGTGGAAAACCCTCAACCATTCATATGCCCTGGGTGGCTCAGGCTGTTTCCTGGAATGGAAAGCCCTCCTGCCTCACTCGCTACAGACACACTATATAGACTCTGGGATACCAACTGTCAACCCACTGTATCAATGAACAAATAAATAGGCCTGTCTCTGATCCAAAGAGAAGGCGTATGAAAACCTAGTTACTCTAGGGTATTCATTCCTGGCCTGGTCTTGATTGTCAACATGGCTTAGCTTAGAAGAGTGGTTCTTAACTCTGCATCAGTATTCTTCGACATTCTTCTGGTAATGTAGACGGATGTGCTACCAGAATCCCAGCCCAGAGATTCTGACTCCACTGCTCTGGGGTGAAGCCCCAGATTATTTCTCTACAGCCCCAGCTGAGAAGCACTGCCCCAGTGACTCCAGCATCATAGGTAGCTTATGGGCTTCTGGGCACACACTTTAGGAGTAGGTCAACCTGAATAACCTGGCTCTGTTACAAATCAGCCGTTGAGCAAGGGACCTAAGTTCTTTAAGCCTTAATTTCCTTGTCCGTAGTCAAGTGTGGATAATACCGCTACCTAACTCAACTGGAAGAGCTTCTGGAAAGTAGGTTTTCAGTAAATCCATTGCTATTCACCTAACATAACTCCTAGTTACATATCTATTCATTCACCAAACAAACATTCATGGGGAGCACTAGCTGTGTGTGCTGTGACTTTTCCCACTCTTGTCAGCTTCCCCTGTCCTGGCCTTGTCCCAAGGCAAGACCCTGGCCTTCCAACTCTGTTTCATGGCAGATGGCTCCTAGCTGGAGTTTTAGACCTGCTGTCACAGCACCCAAAGCAGGACCTGGGGAGCAAGAGCTCCCCAGGACCACGGACACTAGTAACTAGGCACTAGGCAGCCTACCATATGCCGCTGGTTATCTCTTGGCTGCCTACCCTGTGCAGACGGGGGCGGAGCTGGGTGGAGAAGGGTGGCACAAAGGAGTTAGTTACTACTAGGGAAGGCTGGGGCCCTCCCTTAACTAACCATGGGTGTTTGATTTGAATGATACCTACAAATAGTTCTGGAGTAGTCACAGAGTAGCGGGGTTATTCGGCAGAAAAAGAGCACATGCCAGACTCAAATATCAGTGGCCCCAATCTATTTGCTATTTGGGATGTGTACTAGAGCACCTCAAAATTAATCTACATTAAGTGAGGGTTTAGCAAAGGACCTAGGCCTAGTTCTCTCTTCTTCCATATGTGCTCACCAGAAGTATGAAGTTCTTATACCTATGGCTCCAGGCAAGGATATACTTCACTGGAAGATTTTTGAGGCACTGGACATGCTGGAAGTCAAGAAAACCCCTGAAAGGTCAACTTTCCCTCCAGGGGTCACCACCCCACACCAGGCCCTGCAGTCCTCCTCATTCACTGGCTCCTTTCTGTACAACTTCCCATTTCCAACATTTATTCTTTCAGGCCCACTAACAGCTGGTTGTCTTTGTCTTGCAGTTACCCTGGCCCCTGCCCCTGCCTTTGCCCCAAGGTAGTAGCCCAGGACCCCAGACCAGTCCCTTGTTGCCCCAGCAAAACATATTTGGAACCCAAGAGGGAGAAAGAGGGGTGTGTTGCTTTTGACTAGAATACACTCTAGAGATAATATTGTCCTGGCTGCCCCAATCGGGTAGGCAGGTAGCTATGGTGCCCCACCCACCTCCCCACTTACCCACACATACCTCCCTCCCCTTTCCACCTGTAGAAGCTGCTCAATCTGTTCTTGGATGAAGCCCAAGTCTCCTTTTCTATCCCCTTTCCTCATAGGCATCTCCCATTCCACACCCCCCATCTCCTTCCAACCCACACCCTGATATCAGACAACACCCAGGCCTCTCTGCCTTCTCTCTCACCCACCATCTCCTTCCAGCCCAAATGAGAACACCACCAAGGTGCATAGCACTTGTAGGGAGCAGTATCCTGGAGGGGCTGAGCATATATAGCTCCAGACCTTTCACCTCTGAGATTCTCTTGCACATTCTGTGCTCTCCCCTGTAGGGTAAAGAAAATGTCAGGCTTTTCTGCCCTCCCGCCATCAGGATAGATGATAGATCCTTGCAGTCCTGAATGCATGCCTGATGGCGGGCACCTGGAGTAGGGTGTGAGCATAGGTAGTTGGGATTCACCTGGGCTAAGACTGGACTTTTAAGGGTGGTGTCACAGGGACGCCAGTAGAAGCCGAGAACGAACTAAACTGAGAGAGAAGCAGAGAACGCCAGAGAGCCCAGATAGAGTGAAGACTTGCTGGGGGCTGGGAGGACTGCCAGCCTCCCGGCCCCCCAGCACCCTTGCCTGCCATGTACCTGGTAATCCCAATAAAACACCTGCAAAAACCACTGAGGACTCTGACTCCTCCTTTACCCGGTCTGTTGGATCATAGAAAACCTGCACTGTGTCCATTCCTGCCCTTTACATCCCCTAATGTATAAAGATGGGTTGGTCCAATCCTCTTGGTCTTAAAGACCAAGGGGAAGAGGGGGAAGTGACTGCCCCAGGAGATATCAGAGGTAGTGAGGGTGAAAACCTGGGGCCCCTTGTCCAGTGCTCAGCTATTCCATAGGCCCCCCTCGCTAATTGGGTTTCAGTCATAAGTATCTGCTGACTGCACCACTGCAGAGCACAGTGTTAAGCACTTGGGGGAAATATCCTCAAAACTGGGGGAGCGTCCTGTCTGCTAAGGATAACCCTAAAGGGGAATGTCCAAGATGAGTGGGTGGGTCTGTGATCAAATAGTGGGCAGATCTGAGTGTAGGTGTGGAGGGACTAATGGACACAGAATGTGCCAACAGTGGCCAGGATAATAATTACAATAGAATTATACATGACACAGCACTCACCTATGCCAGGCTTTGCTCTAAGTTTACATATTAACTTATTTAAACCCTATTATCACCCTGTGAATTAGATACTATTATTCCCACTTTATAGATGAGAAGATTGAGGTTCTGAGGTGCCTAGGCCTTGCTGAAGTTCACTTAGTAAGCAGCAGGGTTGGGATTCAAATCCAGGCATTTGTTCCAGCATTTACATTCTTAGCTGCTAATTATCCCTCCTCTCATAGTGGAAAGGAAAGGTGAGAAGCAGCCTCTCCCCCATTCTCTCCACAGGGAAGAAGCTGTGGCACAGGTGCTAGAGTTTGAATTCCTGCTTACCTACTTAACAACTCTATGACTGAGGAAAATACTTACCTCCCATGGTTTACTGTGAGGACATATGAAGTCACTTAACACAGGTCCTCTCAAGAAAGATACAACATAAATTGGGTTGGGGCAGGAGAGGAGAGAAGAAACTTCCCTTTTTCTGAATTTTTTAATGATCTCTCAACAATCTTTCAACTTCATTGAGGGGAAAATGAGAAAGCAGAGTTCAAGGATACTGAAAAACTTCTCTACTTTCCAGCAATGAGGCCTGCTTATTTGAGGAATCCAGAGGGGAATGAAATTTGAAGAAAGCAGGTTAGATTAACACCTGCCATTGAGCAACAGTGACGAGGATGAGAGGAGGAAGTGATGTGAAGACTCCTGTGACATGCAGGCCTGCCCTAGAGATGTGAAAAGAATCACCAGATTGGTCTAAAAAAGAGATTTCACAAACTAAAAAGACTCGTTTCTCCCAAAAGTATTTCCTGACTTTAAGGGCAAACGAAAACAAACTAAAATCGCATTATGACATGAATCACACTAAGGGGTGCGATCAAAGACTGAGGGAGTCGCCCCCAACCCTGAAGAGACACAGGAATCCCTAACCTGCTTTAGAAAGAGGCTGAACCATCCTCCTAGAGGAAAGTGAAGATGAAAAAGAGTCAGCGAAGGACAGGTCACCCAGCCCTGTGACCACGGAAGTCACACCTGACTACTGGTGGCAACAAGGTGACATTTTTAGTCAGTGTCACACTATGAAGCACATTGTCACAGAAACACCTGGTCACACACAGATAACCCCATTGTGGGAGACTAGGTTTAGGAAGAGGCAGGATATGAGGTGCAGCTGAGGAGGGGCACTAACAAAACACCTCACATACCCAAAGTCCTATCCCACCGCAGCCGCCCCATCTCTGCAGGTCACCCAGCACAAGGAAGGGGTCGCATGGCTGCGGGACCCCAGGGAGCCCCTTCCATCGGGTAACTGGGTGATACCAGGTAGTCTATCTGAGGAACACCATTCCACCACTCCTCTCCGACCCCCAATTAAGTGCCGAGGGGCCCCTCCCAGAAGCAGCCTCAGTGCACGGGCCGGGATGCTTCTAGCGGAAGGGACAGCTTGTCCGGCTGCCTCCTCTCCACGGGGATGTGGATGCAGGCGGGCTCACCTCTGTGACAGGTTGGGAGGACTCCCCGGGGCGGGGCTGCGTCACCGGAGCCCCCGAGCTGCAGCTTCTGGCGCTGCTCCTCAGAACTCCCCGCAGCATCCGGGACACCGGACATGCCGCCATGAAGCCTGTTCGCAGGGTCGAGAGTCCGCTGGGTAGCCGGTTTCGGGAGCGCACTAGCCCGGGACTCAGTGCCCGGGGTCATCGCGGCAGGGGCGGGGCGGGGAGAGGGCGGGGCCCACGCAGCCAATCGGCGAGGGCGCCGCGCCGTGCAGCCTTCTGGGAGTTGTAGTCCTCGTCCTCTGTGCCTTTCCTGCTTTGGGTAAGCATTCTGAGGCTTGGAAAAGTGCAAGTTTAAACACAGCGGGAGAGCTGATCTTTTATTCCACCTTTGCTGGCTTCTCTGGCCCCAGATGTAGGCCGTGGTGTGACTGGCATAAAATGCATTTGACAAGGCAAAACTGGGGCCAGATAATGAAGCATTCATTGCCTTTGGTGCAACATTTAAGGGTGCACCAAAATATTCAGTTATCAAGATAATATTTTAAAAAGCCAGAATCAAGGCCAAAAAAAATAGATGATGAACAAAATATCAACATTTTATATAGAAACAATCTCTGGCCCTGAAGGTTTACAAGTCATCCTACTCTTGGCCTCACCGTTTTAAAAAGGGAATATATGGGAAGAAGTCATGGAGAAGTGTGTAGGAAGCATTCCAGAAATGATACCCACTCTTGTAATACTCAAAATCATCAGTAATTATTGCCAACCCTTGTAGATAATGTCATCTGGGTCACTGTGCCATTTTTTTTTTTTTTTTTTTTTTTTAAAGAAGTG